TGTAAGGTGCGAAATTTCGGCCAACTCTTCTTCTAATTTCTTCTGCTTCTCGGCTTTTTGAGCCGCTTTCTCAACCTGCGCTGCTTCAGCATGCCGTTGTGCCTTCGTCTTCCTTAGCTTGCGTGGAAGTTGTTGCCGGAATTCGCCGTTAGAAATAGCAACGCCATCCGTTGTGCCATTTGGTAAATAGATTTCTTCTTCAATAGTAGAAAGCCCATTCACACCGTCTGCAATATGCACGGGTTTTACCTCCTTTAAGTCTTTAACTTGGTGCCACGTCTGCCGTGTTTCGAACATGTATGCAATAACTGGGTGATCCCTGAGGTCTGCAGAGGTAGCTTTTGAAGGTTCTGATTTAGCACCGGAAGAAAGCAGCACGAAGTACATCGCCACAGACGCGAGGTACGCAACAAGTGCTTGATGCTTGACTACAGCGAGAGGAGGCTTTCCATTGAGACTTGAAACGGTAGACAACCTTTGAAGGCCCATCATTGATGCTGCCGTGTGTATGCGTTCATATTCGTGCATCAGCTGTACAAACTCTTGCGCGATGGGTTCGAATTCGGGATGCCTTGTTCTGAGGACCTTCATCTTCTCCTCAGGTTCCATGTCATCCGTGATTTGTAGCTGTGGCAGTACTTCTGTAATGATATCATGCTCCTCTGCGACATCGTGACCTTTCCGGTCTTTGGCAGGATCGGCCCAATCGGCTTCATCAAAGGCAAAGTCTGCTTCGGTAAGGGCTTGCAGTCGCTTTTGCTGAAGTCGGCGGGCCTCAGCCTCTTCCATCAATGCGTCCTCTTGTGTTTCAATCTTGTCCGCATCGTAGTAATCCTGCTTCGAGGGTCCCCAGCCTTCTACATCAACGTTCCCTTCATCTTCCACGTCCTTGTTATCTGCTTCAAAACGGGCAACACGCTGACCGAGCTGGGACTGAAGGGTGGCAAGGTCACCACCGTATTCGTCGAGATCGTCATCTTCGTCTTCATCTGCAGAGTCATCCTCAGGCTCAGATGGACTCGAGTAGGCTAGGACTTCATTGTCTGAAAGCTCAAAGGCTTTGTCTATTGTAGTGGTCAGCCGCTGTGCTCCAAGTTTAGCAGTACCGCGAATTCTAGCATACCTTCTTCCTCCCACTTTCGTCTCCTCTTCGCCTCCGGGCCGTCGTCGAGCAGCACCTTATCTCGACCGATGTGGAATTCATCCTCGGCGTCGGCAACATCCTCGTAGGTGTCAATCCGCAGCTTGGAATCGGCAAGATCGGGTTCGCTGGGTTCTGGTTGCTGACCACCGCTGGGCATAGCCTTCCTCTTCTTAGCCATAGCGAAACTTAGTCCGCGCGACTCAGCTCGAGCTGCAAGGAGCAGAAAAGATTGGCGAGGGTCCGTAGTTGAGGATGAGGAAATTGCTGAGAAAAGTCGTTAGTGGCCGTAATATTGGCGCTGCCTTGGCAGGTGATGCCGGCCCGCCGGGGAAGATTTTTGCGCACACAGGCAGCACCGCCGCAAGCGAACCCCGGCCGGAGCCGAATGGCCAACCACCAGCCACGATTGCCTAGTCGACCGGGTAAGCACGGGCGGACAACATCCAGGAGTGTATTAGGCAAATCCTGGAGACGGCGATACGTGCCATTAATATTGGGTGGCGCTTTCTCTGGCTATGGGTGGCTTTTGGCCTTAATCTTTCTTCCCTGCCCAGTCACTACGCATCCGACATCCTCCAATGGCTTCGGGGGACTGGAAAGAGACCGCCTTCCTCGCCGGCGCGGTCCTGATCTTTCTCACCTTCGACGTTACGCTCGTACTGTTCGCCATGGGCTGGTTCAAGCCGAAGAACCACTTCCCAGTGGATGGGAGGGTGAGTACGAGCTTAGGAGACGGAGATCGGCTTATTTTCTGACCACGATGACAGACAGTCCTCGTCACCGGTGCATCCCAGGGCATGGGCAGGGCTGCCGTGAAGCTCCTAGCCCAAAAAGGGGCTAACGTTGTGATTGTCTCGCGGAATGCGAGCAAGATGGAAGCAGTTGTAGAAGAAATGAAGGTGAGTACTAGTCTCCCTCGGTTCAGCAGCACGCCTTGGGTTCCCGCTGACAGCTGCCTAGAGAACTGCGATGAAACCACAGATCCAGCGCTTCCACTACATCAGTGCCGACCTCGCCAAAAACGAGGAGAGCATTCGCGTCGTCGAAGAGGTAACACAATGGAACAACGGCGAGCCTCCCGACATCGTCTGGACCATCGCCGGTGCCGCCCACCCCAGCTTGTTCATCGATGTCGATGCCGAGGTGCTGCGCGAACAGATGGACACAAACTACTGGACTGCCGCCTATCTCGGGCACGCCATTCTTCGTTCATGGCTAAAGCCCTTCTCGAAGCTTTCCGAGTCGGAGCGGAAGGCAGCCGGCAATGCCCCAATACCGCGTCAGTTCATTATGACGAGTTCCGTCGCTGCTTTCGCGGGCTTGGCCGGGTATGCGCCGTATGCGCCAACTAAGGCGGCCATGCGTTGTTTGGCTGACTGCCTGCGGTCGGAGCTTAACTTGTACAATGGCGCGCGGCGTGGGACAAACTCTTCAGTCGTTGCAACGGCGCCGGTTGCTGACGTGAAGATCAGATGCGTGTTTCCGGGTTGTATCTTGTCCCCGGGGTTTGAGAACGAGTCTCGCCTCAAACACCCGATTACAAAAATACTCGAGGACGCTGATATTCAACAGACGGAGGAAGAAGCAGCGAAGGCGTCCATAAAGGAACTGGAAGGAGGAGCGTATTTTGCTACCACCCAGATTATCGGTTCAGCAATGCGTGCTGGGTCTCTTCAAGGAAGTCCAAGGAACAGTTTGATTGTTGACACGCTCTTTGGGTGGCTGGCGAATTTGCTGTGGCTTTTCATAGCGCCGGATATGGAAAGGAAGGCGTGGAAGTATGGCAAGACTCACGGCGTGACCAAAGGCGAGCCTGGCAAATGATGCCGTTAACATTTGTTGGGACGTCTTTCCCTCCCGGGCTATAACCTATAGCTAAAAAGAAGCATTCACATCCAGCAAGAATTCCACATGTCCATCTTGGTACTCTTTATTGGGGTTATTGGGATTCTAATAGCATTGGTTTAACCAAAAATACCCGGCTCATGTATTTATAACTTTCTCCATAGTCCTATTATTATTATCTCTTACGCCCTTGCGTGCTTGTGCTTATGTCATAGCCTTATCAGGGTACTTAAATCACCTAGGCGCTTGGAACTTTCCAACTCTGCTTCAACCCCCTTTAAAATGTTGCAATGCACTAATTGTCCTGTCAATTTCGCGGAGAGACAGGAGGGCGGCTGAGTTGCGATGCGTGGGTATTCCGTGCAGTGAGGTGTATGAGTATCGACACATTATGAGCACTAAACATTTCTTTCCTGTTCCTGCACTAGTATGTCGAACTTTTTCAGGTCATTGGAATACGCTAGAGATACAAAATCTTTGTCCTGCTATTGAGAATAGAACACTTGTATGGAACTAAGCAGGCCATTAGACATTCATCGACAGTTGAAGGCTCTAAATGACATGGTAACACCCCAGCATCTATTCTTGGCTAGTAACACTCAGTGGACTCCATTCAATGTCTCATGAGTCCTACACTAACGCATATGCAGAGTTCAATTTTCAGTCCATATCCATACCTTTAATAATCTTCTCAAAGACATCGACTCCGTACCTTCCCAATGCCGTCCCTACTCCCACCGCCGAGGCGCCTACTTTCCTCATCCTTGCGAATCCAGCCGCGTCCTCAACGCCTCCGACACCAATGATCTGTACGTGCGCTAGTTCCGGTTGCTTGGACAGCAAGTCGCGCAGCGTATGCACGTTTCCGAGCGCGAGGGGGTGCAACGGCGGCCCCGCAAGGCCACCGATGCCTGTCTTGTTCGCCGAGGCGATGACAGGCGTCGAGTCGTCCGCGAGCACGAGTGAGCTGCCCAAGGTGTTTGTTGCCGTGATGAAGGAGACGGGGCACGGAGCTTCGCCGGAGGCCGACTTGACCAGCGCCTTGACCAGCGTGTTGAACTGGTCCATGTATGTGTACGGTGGGGTTTTTATGCCGATTGGGACACCGGAGGACCGGCTTTGGGCCTCAGAGGTGGTAGATGCGTGTGGCTTCAGCGCGCTCAAGTACTCGGTCAAGCGATCGCCCGAGTACGCTGGGGGCGGCTTATTGGGGATGTTTGGGCAGGAGAGATTAATCTCCATGGCCAGCGGCATGGAGACTTGCGACTGGCATTGCGTGATTAGACGATAGCATTCGAGCGTATCTTCCACTCCCCCTGTAACGGAAATGATGAACGACTTGCTGGCGTTCCTGCTCAGCTTTTGTTGCTCATCGGAGATTCTTTTGATGAATTCAAGATATTCGGGCAGGGTAATTGGGCTGTATCCAAGAGTGTTTAGACTTGCTGTTGTTGATGCTTCCGGCTTCGTCTTGTTGGCCGTTTGGTCGTGAGTGGAAGGATTGAAAAAGGTATATTGGTGGATTACCGGGTCGTGAGGAAATCCTTCTAGCAAACTTGTTCGCGTGGTTACAGCGCCCGAATAAGGGGTTTCGTAAAGGCTACGGAGATCCTCGTATGTTGTTGCCCAAGGATTAGCGGAATTCAACAGTGGAGGATCAATGACGAGACCCATATTGTGTTTGCTTTGGCAATGAACCTGGTATCTGCCGCCCAGGAACTAGGTAGTAAAAATTAACGCTATAGATCCGAGCGAGAAAGGTTGTTTTATGCTGTCAGAACGCTTTGCGATAAGCACAACTCTACTTCGTACTACTACAGTAAAGTGGGATAGCGGTGGGGCACGGAGAATGCTATCGTTTTGTCGGTGGAAGTCCCGGATTTACCTAATTTGTGAAGTCACGTTATATCTCCCTTGGCAGATAGAGTACAGTTGACATTGACAAACTATACTGAGTTTCGAAAGCTCATGTGCTTCTCGAAATTTAGATGGTGCAAAAAAAATTTGTTTACGACGCGAGCAGGATTCGAACCTGCGCTCCCGAAGGAACAAGATTTCTAGTCTTGCGCGATAACCACTCCGCCATCGCGCCATGAAAGATGAATCAGAATTTCGTCTTTGTAGTATATAACTACTACTAATTAGCAACTTGTCATAAAATTCACATTACCAAATAACTTAAAGAATTTTAAAACGACTAGGATGCCCATAATCATCTTGCAGCTTCAATAATAGGGACATAGTTTTTAAAAACAGTTCGAAACCGAGGCCATTCCTTTGGATCCACCTTTTTTGCTGATGTCACGGAAGCTTCCTGTGCCTACCTACCAGCATATGCGCATCCCAATTAGGCTCATATGCGTTGATTTCCCCTCAGATTCTAAAGTATCGGTTACAAGCACTCCGGCCATGAGTTTTCGCGTTCCTTCTCTAAAATGAGAAGAACTACTTCGTCATCCTGCTCAAGCGTGCTTTAAATGTAGTCATGTCGTACCACCCAATGCACACCCACGTGTGACGATCTCCCAGCCCAACCACTTTTATTAACCCTATTTTCGGATCACTATCCCCTCACTTCATCCTCACCAGCATTTCTTCCCCGCCCCCCTCGATCAACCTCCTCACCTCTTCCGCACACCTCGCCACCGCCGCCCCATCCAACACCCTATGATCGGCGCTCCAACTCAACGCTGCCTCCTCCTTCCTCACCACTGCGCCCGTCTCCTCGTCGAACCCGGGCACGACGCGCGCGCGCCCCACCCCGACAATGGCCACCTGCGGTGGCACGATGACGGGGGACACGACGCCGCCGCCGATGCTGCCCACGTTGGACACGGTGATCGTCGCGCCGGCGAGGTCCGTGCTGGAGAGCTTGCCGGCGCGCGCGAGGGCGGCGAGCCGCGCCAGCTCGGCGTTTAGGCTGAGCACGCTGTGCGACTGGACGTCGCGGACGACGGGGACGAGGAGGCCCGAGGGCGTGTCGACGGCGACGCCAATGTTGTGCGCCGCGCGGAGGTGGAGCGCCGGTTTGCCGTTGCTATATCCATTGCCACTACCGTCATCGGGTTCTACTAGGTGGGCGTTGAGGGATGGATGCGCGAATAAGGCTACTGAGACTGCTTTGATTACGAAAGGAAGTGCGGACAGCTTTTGTTCGGGTGGCAGTCGGGCGTTTAGTCGGCGACGCAGCGCGCTCAGCCCGGTAAAGTCGGCAGAATTGGTGTATAGGAAATGCGGGATTGAGAGTGAACGAGTCATGGTCTTGAACATTTGATTTTGAACAGGCGTGAATGAAATTAGGCGATCCTCGCGCAAAGGCTGGGGCGGTAGTTGTAGGGGAACCTTTGGCGTGCCTTCGATAGTGGCAGAAGGACCAGGAATAGGGTAAGACTGAGGGGCGGCAGCTGATCTAGAATTGGCGTAGTTCTGGACATCTTCCTTGAGAACTCGGCCATCCTTGCCTGTGCCCTGCACGTCTTCAATGTCAACATTGAGTTGTTTCGTTAGGTGTCGTACTGCTGGGGTGGCTAGCGTGGCGTGCTTTCCACTCGACCTGCCCGTCTCTTGTGATGTAGACTCGGCTTTCGTATCATGCCTTGGTGGTGAAGTCGCTACTTTTTCTTTCGACTCTTTCGGCCCGGAAGGCTTCTCCCTTGGCTTTTCTGGCGCCTGCCCTCCCTCTACTTGGGTCAATCTCTCGTCTTCGGGAGATATTTCGCTCTGGATGTCGATATCGACTAGGGGCTGAGTTTCAGTCAGTATGCAAGACTCAGTTGAAAATCTCCAAAAAGAAGCGCCGATGAATAAGTTACCTTTCCAACCTTAGCCATGTCGTCTGCTTCGTAATATAGCTTCTTTATTACTCCATCGAATCGCGACGTGATCTGCACAAGCGCATAGAAATGAGCTGTTCCGGTTCGGCCGTGTTTGATATGCAAGCAGCTCTTCCGGAGTAGCTGATACGGTCCCTAGGATAGGCCCTCACCTCAACTGAGGCTTTGTCCGACTGCACCTCACAAATCTTGTCAAACTGCTCGACGCGCGCTCCCGGCTGCACGAACCATTGAATCACCTGGCATTCCGTGATACCTGCGGAGCGAGCCTTCTGTTAGCTTCCAGCTTTCCGATCCTCGCGAAGCTCTCGTCGGCATATGCATCCGCTGGACTTCTTCACGGGTCAATTGGCGCCGTGCGACTGGACTTCGCGTACCTTCACCAATATCCGCCAGCAAATATGGCTTTACAACCTTCCGCGGCGCCGTCACATGGAATGGCCTGGGCTGTGCGGCCTTTCCGGGCTGCCATTCGGGGCTGCAGCTGGGGGGCCCGAGAGCCGTTGCGGCGGGGCGTAAGCGCGCACCGGCGCCGCGAGAGGAAGGGCATTGGCGGCCCAGGACTCCAGCTCGTCGCAGGGAGAGTGCTCTCATGGCAGCGGCGGCAGCGGCTGCGAGGATTGTGGTGGCGGCGATGGTTTGGGGACGGCAGACATCGTCTTGGGGCCTTATTTTGTCGCGCCCGGGGCAAAGGCTTGCTGTCTTATGACATCGTGGGCAGTGTTTACTCGGCTTAAACCCCGGATTCCTCGGTCGCCAGCCGGGCGGGAAGGAACGGAAGGTTCAGGCACCTCGCTGAGCCGAGGGCCCTGGCGCAAAGCCGAGCCTAAGCGCGCTGCCTACTACTACGTACGCATACGTAGCAGAAGGCCTTGCTCCGCCTTGCGCCGGGCCGGACAGCTTATGTACATGCGCGCACCGGCCGGTGGTCTTCTGATCGGCCCGGCCGAAAGTCCGAAGACCTGCGAGCCCGCCAGCCTCAGTAGCGTGCGATCGAGGTACCGCCCCTCAGGGTCAGCCGAAAATGGCGCTCATCCGTCCACGAGGGGCGTTGCGGAAACCGTCTCTCTGGGTTCACTTTGGGGCTTGCGACGACGACGTTCCTGCAGATCAATGCAAGACGCTCCCAACGGTTGAGGCGACAATCTTTTAATGGCACTATATTGCTTTGAGGCGTGCTGTTGATGACATGCATCGACGCTACAAGAAGCTAACATGGATGCGAGACCAAAGGGTGGCCATCATGGATATCTTCCCTTGTTGCCCCCAAAGACATTTGCTGGCTGATTCTGATCCATCAGCGCTTTGCCAAACTCCGGTATAGCCCGTATTGTAGGGTCCAACGCCACTCCATGCCGAGACGCTAAGAATGCTACAAAAAGCAACGAGAAGCTTTCCCACCTGGTCACAAGATAGACTGCGGGTCATCGGGATCAATGTTCGCTCAGTGTCCGAACCAACGAAAGCATGTAACCGGGTCGGAGGGAAATTTCAAAAAAAGGTAGAGGCGGCAAGAAAAAAAAAGAAAAAGGGATATGTCCAACAGGGGGCCAGTAAACGCGGTCACTTCGTCACTTCGGTGGCTCAGTTGAACCCCCCATCCTGTGCCAGCGTGTTCATGACGGTGGCTAGCACCAATTCCTCTACCTCACTCATGCTCCCGCTAACGTCTACGCTCAATACGTCTCGTTCTTCGGGTGTGGGCGGCTCCAGGCTTCTCAATTGGCTTTGGACCATGGCGTCCTTCATGTAGTGGTTCTGCCTCGCCTTGACCCGCGCAAGCAGCGTGCCCTCATCGGCCGCTAGGTAGACAAAGTGCACGAGCACGTCGCTGTCGTTGTACGCCGCGATACGAATAACGTCGCGGTACTTGCGCTTCAGCGCGCTGCAAGTGAGGACGACGCCCGAAGCGCCCGCCTTGAGCTCCTCGAGCGATTTTTGGCGTAGGGATATCAGCCAGTCCCACCGATCGGCATCGGTGAGCGGAATACCGCTCCTCATTTTTTCGATGTTGGCTTGAGGGTGGAACTACGGGGCAGATGTTAGCCTTGGAGCCATTTTTGTGGGGTATATCCCACGCCGCCTACAGAAAAGGGGCTTCAATGCGGGTGAGAAGGGCCGAGGGCGGATCCTTGCATTACCTCATCGCCTTCCACGTAGGGCAAAGACAGCTGGTTGGCCAGGAACTTTGCAACGGTGCTTTTGCCACAGCCCGCTGGCCCTGTGATAATCCAGATGTGACGGTGCGGGAGCCGAGTGGGCATGACGCCGTTGGTAGCTTGGGAGTTACTCATGGCAGATGGGGCAGTAAAGCGCCCATTGTGGTCGTAGGATAACATGATTAAATAGAGAATGAGCGGGAGGAGGTTTGTGAAGCACGAAGAATGACAACGCAGAGAGCGTTATCCAAGGACACAGATGCAGCACAACACTGTCGTGAAAAGAGAGGTACGACAGCCGCAATGGCAACGAGGTTTGCTGACGTGAAGCAGAAATGGAAAGGACTAGAAAGAGAAGGGAAGTGCTTCTTCACCGAAGAACCGGAACGATCATGCGAGGGCAGACGGAGCCACAGCAGCGGACCGGGACGAAGCAACTGGGCTAAGTTTGTTTTAAGTACTACCGGGTCAGTCGAGATGGACAGGTACGGGTGAGACGGGATGCTCGAAGCGTGGGCACACGAGCACGGGCGGTTGCAGCCATATATAGCTAACGGGAACGCAAACGGGAGCCATGCTGAAGGAGTCAAGTGAAGCGTTCAAATGCCGCGCAGGGCCAGGGACGGGGCAGGCGGAAGGCGGTATGGAAAATGGCTACAAGCCCTAAATTGGGCCGAAAGTGACGATGGGGCGCTTGATGTCACGCACCAACCGCACCCCATGCCGGGGCCGGTGGGACGCGCTGGACGGCTGGCCACGCGGATGCCCCGGCCGGCGCAGCAGAGCCCGACGAGAGGCGGCGAGCCGGCGAATGGCAGCGCCCGGGGGGGCGCGGCCGGCAGGGCGGGCCAGGCTGGGTCCGGGGCCAGCCAGACTGGGGAGCCAGCGCCCGGATGGGGCGCGAGGGGGTGGGTGTTTAGCGGGGGCCGAAGGGGGTGGGAGAGGGGTGAGGGGGGGCGGCCGCGGCTGGCTGGCGTGGGGGGTCGAGTGCTCACGGCGACGCAGATGGGAAATAGCGGGCGCTTTTGGCGGCCGCGGCGGCGGTTCGCAGCGCAGGCGTGCCTGCGCCCACTTGAATGGCGGGAAAAAAGACCGCGCCG